TTTTCAGAATTTTGAAAATTTAAATAAAACAATAAAATAATAAATAAAATAAAAATAAAAATTCGTGTTTAACGATATTTTCGTTATCATTAGATTTTAACCATTTGCATTTGTGAATCTTCTTTGCGCAAATATTAACTTTGGAAAATAACATTAAAAATTACAGAATGTAACAATTTCAATGTTGTATAAATTACTAATAAAATTGTAATTTATAATACAATACTTGACGATAAAAAAAAATTCGTTTTTGAAAAAAAAAATTATTTTATTCGTTTCTTGAACATAAAAATACTGTAAAACCATTGACATTGATTAATAATGATATAATATATCATGATTATAATAATATATAAATATATCATTATATTATAACCTATGTAAAATTATATAAAGAATTTTATTATGTACTTACTTGATTAATTAGCTTTTGTAGGTAATGTCCATTAGGTATTTAGGCCATTTAGGTAACCAAAAATTACGCCCGTGTACATCGATTAAATTCCTTATTTATCACATCGAATTGATCGATATAACCACCAACTTGTTGATCGTTTAAAAATTTGTCAATACAATATATACTGTTTAACTATTTTGGAACCGAAATATTCAATTGCCAAATGACGTAACCTGATGATAGGAGATTCTACTTCTCGGATACAACTGCTAATGAAGATCTCTTCAGTTTTATCATAAAACATTCTAATACAAGTGTTGAATATAACAATATTATTTATTTATTTTTAATATTTTTTTTTTTTGCTCGAACCGGATTTATTTTATGTACGAACACTGATTTTATAATATCTATAAAAAACAGTGGTTCACGTACATATATTCATGTGTATGTTATTTATTTTCTAAATAGCTACAAAAAAACACTATTATTCTGGGTTACATAGTCGTTGAATGAAGTGTTTAAAAGACACGAGTGTAAGCATACTCTATTTTATGGATGTGCCTTTTTTCGAATCAAATGTGAGAATATTATATGTATACTATAAAGTATTTGTTACATGACTAGTCTATTCACGATATTTGATCAGTGTGAGAAAATTTCTTATCTAGAAACGTACAGAAACAAATTCCTCCACAAAAAGTAATGCAAATCGAGAGGATTTTAATAAAATAATTAATAAATGCATGTAAAATATATACATACATATAAAGACTAAATCTCTTAAATTATTTTTTAACAGCAGAGGTTAGTGGAACTATAATAACTTTTCGGAAGCTCAATATGTTTTTATTCTTTTAATTAGCTATTGTGGTAAAAGTAATTTTCAAACACATTAAAATTGAATGAAAAATCCTTAAAACTTTTTAGTTTTAACAACAAAACTGAATTACTTATATATATATATATATATATTTATTTATAAACTGTACATTTTTTACACCTTTCAATACGCGTAGTATTTCTATGCCAAAGTTACCTTTGTTGTAGTTGTTTTTTTATTATATTCATTAGGCTTATACATTTTGTTTGTTCGGAAAGGAATAACACTCCATCATTATCAAGAAGTGTGTATAAAAATATGTATTGTAGGAATGACGCTCATTTTGACTAAATAGATAACTTTTTGAGAAGAAACTTTTATAACTAATATCGATTTTTTATTACTACTATTCTATGTATAAATGTACTGAGACCTGCCATGAGTATAGTATATTCGGATATATTATGAAAGTAATTTGTATTTATAAACGCAAAGTATAATTTATCATGTGTAACACTTCCTAATACCCGTTTTATAAATGTACTTTGGAAATATAATTTAAAAAGTCAGTTAATTACATACATTTCTGATATTTCAATATAAATATGTTGGAAGGAAAGAAACTGTTTAGTAATATTTTTTGAATTTAAAATCCTGTTTATAATTTTTGAAATCTATAATATAAAATTCATTATTATATACATTATTGGTATGATATTGGAAATCGTGTGGTATATTTCAATTTTCCATCTTAAATTGTCTAAGGTAGTTTACATCGTAAAATAATTTAAGCAAATGTTACTTTGCTTTTTAATAATAAATATTAAATATAAACAAAAATATTAAGTATAAATGTGTTGTAAAATAAAATAAAAAAAATACATATATATATTTATGTATATCAATAAAAATATTACTTAAAAGTAAAATATTTTAATTATATTTTTTAAAACAAAAACACTAATTGAAAAATGAAAGAATTAGGAATACAAGTGTTTTGTGTTTATTATTTATTATCGTTGAGTTTACTTTTTGTGCCGAAATTTGCTATATTGAAATAATTATACGTTTCAATGAATCGAAAACAAAAATGAAATCCGAAGTGTACCACGTTAATTCGTAAGTAATATATTAATATTTTGTATCTATTATTCTAAGGAATCAAAAAAAGGCCAAAAGCATTTAAATGTTAAATCTGCTAAATGTGATATTAAAACTAAAAGTCATCAACTATCTATATACGAATCAATGACCAAAACAGAATGTTGGCATATAAATGATAAAAAATCCAAAGTAATTCATAAAGCAATTGGTGAAACGATTTGTGTTGACAATGAACCGTATAATTTAGTTTAACGGACAGGGTTTAAAAAACTCATGGAAATTGTTAAACCACAATATAAAGTAAGCTTGTTTCTATTTGTATTATATTAAATAATAAATAAATGTAAATTTCTTTTTTTAGGTACCTAATCGCAAATATTTTACTGATAATATTATTCCAGAAATGTATGTTGAACTTAAATTAAAAATTATGGATATGCTGAAGCAGGTTCATACTGTATCGCTTACATCTGATATTTGGACATGCAGTCACAACAATGAAAGTTTTTTAAGTTTTACATGTCATTGGATTTCTAATGATATGATACAACATCATTGTGTCTTAAATGTTAGACATTTCACTGGAAGTCATACAGACCTCGCCATTAGAAAGACTATTGCAGGAATGGGATTTAGAAAAAAATATTCATTTATTAGTACGATGAGTGCCAAGTGGGAACAACAACTACCTAATATTAAGCGATTATGTATAACTAGCTGTCCCGCCCGTCGTTGTCCAAGGCAAAGATTTGTATTTTTAATAAATATATTTGTACAAAATATACCACATTTCTTCTAATTATTTTATTAATTCTAATCATTTATTTATACACCTTCATTTATGTTTCTGTTTCAAAACAATTTTTACTGAAACCATTAGGCTATAGCGCTTGTTAGAATATTACTATGTACAAATATAACAACGTATTGTAATTTAAAACACGGTTGAATGTTAAAAATTTAAATTATCTTAAAACAATAAATAATATTTATAAACATTTCTCAAACCCGATAAAAAAAGTATACCAAAAAAGACTTAGTTTTCTATTTCCTGGGGATACTGGGGGGAAATATAAAATATGTTCTAATTTTAAATATTATTTATATACTTACAAAATAATAATTAAAAATGATTAAAAACATTATACTATCAATTTTTAATAAAAAATAAAAAGAGGGATAGAGACTACTCATGCAGGTGAAACCCGTGTAGATGTACTGAAAAAGCAAATTCAGTTGATAGTTCAACATTTCTAAACGAAAAGCATTAATTTATTGATTTGAAGTATGGTGAAATTTAATTTATTCTTTTTTTCAATGATTATTTAAAGTTTAATCGTTAAAACACAAGATTTAAAAAATTGAAGGAAGTTCATATACAAGGCAAAATTTTGTTTGATGTGTTAACAATACATTAATTATTTTTTGACAATAAAAAAAAATCTAAATTTAAATTTTATAAAATTGTAATAGGGTATTAAAATTAAAATTTGATTAATTTTACTTTTGAAATATTAATTAGATATTAATGTGTAATATTATTTATTTATATACATATATGTTTTTTTTTAAATTTGTTATATATTTTGCGTAATGTAATAATTATTCTGTATGTTTTTTTTTTAACTTTATAATTTAAAAAAGGCCAGTATGTATCATAATATCAACAAACCAGTGCCCTCTCATATAAGATTGTCACATATGCCGAAAAATATTATTGGATTTCCTATTTCTACAGAAACTTGTCTGCTTCACCTTATTTGTTGTATAGATTAAATCTCTAATATTTTTCATTAAAATCCTTAAATAATGCTAAAGCTACCACTGGTTTATATACTGTGCATTATATTATACTTTCAATTGTTAATAAAAAATAAAAAAAAGGTATCCTGGGGTCTAAAGAATACTTATGCAGAAGAATCAAATAAATATTTATTATAATAAAAAACAAAGAATACTAATGCAATTAAATTGATAAATTTAGAGATTAATAATTTAAATGAATATTGAATGGAAATATTTTATTTAAATAACCGAGGCTACTTAATTATTTTTAGTTTTAAAAAGGTAACGGATTATATAAAATAATATGCTAGAAACTAAAAAACATAAATTTAATGAATTGTATTATGATTGCATTTTTTATTCAAAATATAAACGGCGTACCTGTATTTTCGTGAAGTAAATAGGTATAGGTTAGTTTCTCGTATTTTCATTTCACTCTGGATCGGCTCATAGATTTAGGCTGTTTACTGTTATAAAATAAACAACAAGAATATTTAAATAATCAAGTATGCTTTATGATTTAAAAAAAAAATTAATTATTATTTTAGTTTTTTTTAATTTAATTTTATATATTATGAAAAAAAAATTTTGTAATAAATTTAATTGATCAAAATGAAAATATTTAACAAACCCACATAGAATATGACAAATTTATATATATATATATATATATATGACATAGATTATCTGCCTCATCGTTGGTAACTGTCCTGGTTTGTCGCCAAAACAAATTATTTAAATGTAAATGATTTTTATATACAAGTACATCAATTTATTTTAATTATAAATACAATAACCGATAAAATACTAAGGTCTGTTAAATTTGTAACATTTATTTATACTCCCTCATTTATGTTTCTGTTTCAAAATAATTTTTACTGAAACTATTAGGCTATAGTGGTTGTTATAATACTACTATGTACAAATATAACAACGTATTGTAATTAAAAACATGGATAAAGTATTTACAATTTAAATTGTCTAATAAAAATTTATAATAATCATAAATATTTCTCAATCCCGATAAAAAAAGTATACCAAAAAATACTTAGTTTTCTAGTTCCTGGTAATACTAGGCTAAATATAAAATATGTCTTAATTTTAAGCATTATTTATATAGGTACTTACAATATCATAATTAGATATTATTAAAAACATTATACTCTCAATTTTTAATAAAAAATAAAAAGAAGTATCCTGGAGTCTAGAGACTACTCATGCAGGTAAAACTCGTGTGGAGGTACTGAATTAGCAATTTCAATTGACAATCCAACACTTACAAACGAAAAGCATTAATTTACTGATTGAAACTATAGGTGAATTTAATTTATCCTTTTTTCAATGATTCTTTAATGTTTAATCATAAAAATACAAGATTTGAAAATTGAAGAAAGTTTTTATATACGACAAGATTTTATTCGTTGTGTTAACAAAACAATAATTAATTATGACAATAAAAATAAATGATTTTTAAATTTTATAAAATTGTATTAGGGTATTGAAAATTTAATTTGTTTAATGTTTTTTTTGAAATATAAATTAGATATTGATGTGTAATATTTTTTGTATATATATGTATATGTTTTTTTTTAAATGTGTAATATATTTTGTGTAATGTAATTATTATTATTTATTTTTTTTTAACTATATAATTCAAAAAAGGCTAGTATGTATCATAATATCCACAAACCAGTGCCTTCTGGTCTACGATATTCACATTTAAAAAAAAATATTATTCGAATTGCTATTTCTATAGAACATTTTTGCTTCACCTTATTTGTTGTGTAGCTTAAATCTCTAACATTTTTCTTTAAAATCCTTAAATAATTCTAAAGCTGACACTGGTTGATATACTGTGTATTATACTATAATTTTAGTTATAATAAAAAATAAAAAAAAGGTATCCTGGGGTCTAAAGAATACTTATGCAGAAGAATCAAATAAATAATTATTATAATAAAAAACAACGAATACTGATGCAATTAAATTGATTAATTTAGAGACTAATAATTTAAATGAATATTGAATGGAAATATTTTATTTAAATACCCGAGGCTACTTAATTATTTTTATTTTTAAAAAGGTAATGGATTATATGAAAAAATATACTAAAAACTAAAAAACATAAATTAAAATAATTGTATTATAATTGCATTTTTTATTCAAAATATAAAAGGCGTACCTGTATTTTCGTGAAGTAAATAGGTATAGGTTAGTCTCTTGTTATTTCATTTCACTCTGAATCGGCTCATAGATTTCGGCTCTTTACTGTTATAACATAAACAATGATAATATTTAAATAATCAAATATGCTTTAAGATTTAAAAAAAAATTAATTATGATTTTAGTTTTTTTTAATTTTTTTGTACATTATAAACAAAGAATTGAAAGAAATGTAATTTGTCAAAATGAAAATATTGAACAATCACAAATAGAATATGACAATAAAAATTGGACATAGGTTATCTGCAACATCGTTGCTAACCGTCGTGATTTGCCGCTAAAAAATAATATTTAAATTTAAATAATTTTTATATACGAGAACAACAGTTTATTTTAATTTGTTTTTTTTTTATTAATCATTGATTTACAACTTTGGCTGTTGTAGCCATTAGTTACATTTTTTAAATTTTAATTGTTTATACATATAAATATTGTTTTTTAAATTAGTTTGTATATTCCGGAGTCTTCGAGAATAGGAATGAGATCTCCGTTTATTTCTGGTCCGATATTTTCGTATAAATTTGTAGGAATGTTGTATTTTATTCTCTCTGAGTGGTATGATCGGCAGTCTGTTATTATGTGTCTTGTTAAGTCTCGTTACATGAGGTGCAGATTGTTTATTCTTTGTTGTCCATTAGATAACCGTGTGTTAGCCGGGTGTTTTGGATTCTTAATTTGTTAATTATTATATTTATTTTTCTTGAAGTGTGAATTTGTTGCCATGAATGTATGTTTTGTTTTATTTTGTTTAATTTTGTATTTTGTTTTAACCAATGATTTTGCCAAATATTGTATGTGTACATTGCTATGTTTTTTTTATGTCTAAGAATATTAATTGGTTGTACTTTGGGAATTCTGTTGATGTAACTGCATTTTTTGCGTGTCTTTCAGCTTCTTCGTTTCCATTTATATTACAGTGACCAGATATCCACATTAGAGTAACGATTTTATTTGAATGTTTTAGTTCGTGAATTTTATTGATTTATTTTATTGTTGAAGAAATATCATTGAGTTAAATAGGATTTTGTAAGCTATGTATAGTACTTAAAGAGTAAATATATTGTACATGGGCTGAAGCGAAAAAATGGATGCCTCGCGAGTAAAGAACACTAGCTGATGCGTGCCTAGGTTTATTCAAATCAAACACTTTGAGCCGAGTACATAGAGTGAATCCAAGGCAGACTGTCAAACCAGGTGGAACTGGAAATACCAATTTCTCATTTTGCTAATTCTCGTAAAAATACGATTAAATAATGGAATCGCATTAGACGTAGATTCATCTAGAATTTAATTAATTTAATTTACTTTAAATTTTAATCTAAACTAATTTAAGTTAGTAAAACATTACACTATTAGTTGAAATATTTACAAGAAAAACATAATAAAGTTTAAACAAAAATAACTTTATTTGATTAAATTTACATCATATTTAATTATTTTATTCAAAAAGCAATGACAGTCTCTTTTTGTTAGAAGCAAATAAATTCATTAAATTATCGATTTGTTGATTAAAAATGTTTTCATCATACCTTTGGTTCTTTAAACGGTTTGAAGTGCTGAAATATAATAAAAAAGTCATTATTAAATATTAATTTATGTACTGATTAAAATTTGAAAAAATGTAACTTTCATGAAAAATCTCAGGAGCGGCGATAGTCTACAATGACCCTCCTGTCAGGGCGTCCCTGATGTTAGTATAAATTCTAGTTGTCTTATAGCACACAGCAATATATTTGCTCTTTATGGTCGTATCAGAATATATAATACAGTATGTAAACGCTAACTGAGAACACTCAAAATCTTTGCGTAGAGTTCTGCAATTTGAATTCCGATTTTTCATTGATTTTTATAACATAAAAATGTGTATTATTATAATTATTTATAATTTAAATCAATAAATTATATTTATAATTATTGATAAATTCCAATAGATCCATTAAATGTCACAAAATAAACAACATGCTATCTTATTTACGTTTATTCTGCTATAAGTTATAATACATACCCAAGTTAAAGTGAAAATTATACAGTAGATAAAATTATAATAACGAGTAAATCACTTTAATAAATAAGAGTGAAAATATCAAGCCTTAACAATCCTAGAATAATTATTTTCAGAGTTACTGTCAAAAAAAATTGAAAATCCTGCGCATTTTGTAGTTTTTAAGTTAAATTGCTGTAACTTGAAAAATTTTAAACTTAAAATGTTAATTTAACTATCAACATTCATTAAAAAAATAGGCGAAAAATAATTAATGGTTAAAATAGGTGTGTGCTAATTAAGAAAAAAAATTTAAAAACTCATAATAACATTTTTATGTCATAAAGAAAAATTAGAATTCAAATTGAACGGCTCTACTCAAATATATTGAGTGTTCTGAGTTAGTGTTTATATACTGTATATCAGTACAAGTAAGTACAAATTACTGATAAACTATCAATTATTGCATCAAATAACTCCAGAAAAATAATTATTGAATCATGTTGGTCTACCCATCTTGTTAGACAATCACGATTATAGATTAATGAGGAACATACACGTGCTATTGCTTCAGATAAGAAGCATTTTTTTAGGGTATTAAACAGTGGCACACAACAGGCAGCAAGTGGTAGCCACAATACAAAGACAACCTTCTCTACAACCTTTTTAACTCAAAAAAAAATTATTTTAATTTTGAGTCTAGTCTTGTCTAAAAAAAATGTAGCAACCGTTTCAGTACCTTATTTACATTTTCAGTCCCCTTTGGTTCCTAAAATTATGGACCGTGCAGAGCACTACTGTGCAAAGACGTATTTGTGTTGTGGCCATGGGGGGGAACCTAATTTTTTTTCAACACAAACTTAAAATTAATTTACAGTTCATTACAGGGGCGTACTCAAGGGGGGTTTTTGGGTCCGGACTCTCCCATTGAAATTTCTACATAATTCATGGTTTAATAGTAAATAGTATAATTAGTGTAATTTAATTTCCCATTATTTTCAATGTAAAAAGTTTATAGCTTATATAATATACCAATAATGTATAAACCATATTTAATTTATACCCCTTTTTAATATTATTTATTATTGTTAATTAAATAATGTTTTTTTTCCTTATAACATTTTAATACCAAATAAAAATTGATTTCAAATTATAGTACCCATAAGCGTGCATACGGGGTAGTCAGGGTAGGTACTTGACTATTCTGTGAAACTTCCCACCCTCACCAAAATATTCAATATGATCACAATAATAAATAAACATATTATTTTCAACCACTTCGAAACATTAGTTAACGTTAAAAAAATGTAAGAATACTGGAGAAATATAGTTATTAAGTTAAATAAAGTTACGAATGCAAATTTTTTGTTAATATTAAATGATAATGTGTTATGTTTGACTACCCTGCCAATTATGTCTGCACACGCTTATGATAGTACCTACGTATTTAAATTTTTACCTACCTAACGTAAACCTTTGTGCAGAATATGTGTGATGTGTGTATAACTTTAGTTATTAACAGTAATTTGTTGGTATTGAATTAAACTATAATTAGAGACCAGATGAAATTAAAATGTTGGACACCCCTAAAAAATTCCTGGGTACGCCATTAGTTCATTATCTACAGTTCATGTTCCTGCTGTTCATTTGAGTGAATAATTTAAAATACAAGTACTAAATTGAATTTAATATTTATTTAATAAATATATTAAAACAGTACCGAATTAAAAATTTGTGGGCTCCTAGGCAATTAAAATTTTGGACCCTAAAAAATTATTTTTTACAAACATCTTTAACATTACAATCCAATTAATTAAAATAAATAGCTTTAATAATTATTAAATTAAAAATTTACTTAAATTTATTTTTAATAATATTTTAAACCATTATCAATAAATAAAATCATGTTTATTAAATTTTTTTATTTGCAAGAAAAATGAATGAAATATTACATTATTTCTAGTTTTTTCAAAATAATTTTGTTATTATTGCTACATATAACACCTACAACTTAATATATATTATATTTCATAATGACTTTTGTTCTGTAAATTCGTAAATAAAATACAGGTATTATTAAATAAAAAAAAATATAGTTTTCGGTTTTCACAGGGCCCCTTAAATGAGTGAGGCCCTAAGACGGGCGCCTACTCTGCCTAATGGGTAATCCGGCACTGTATTTAAAACCTACTGCATATAAAATAAGTATTAATAATAACAACACAAATAGTTCTTATATTAAAATTGTACCTTCAGCCTGAATCCTATATAAAAAAAATAACAAATAATCAAAGTAGTAATAGTACATATTAATTATTTTTTAAAAACTTTAAAAAACAATTAAGATAGGTAACCTAATTTAACAAATATCTAAGTAGAAAACATAAGATTGATAAGTAGTCAAATAACAAATTCCAAATTCCTTTTTTTCATTTTGGTAAATTTGTTGATTGTTTCATCAATGAATACAATAATATTTTTATGCACATGCAGCAAAGCCAAACCTGTTAGTCTATGCTTACCTATTCTTGATCTTAACTATGTTTTCAATTTACAAAAATATATTTTAGGCATATATTTGCAATTTATAGAATACGAAAACAAATATTGTCAGTTATTATGATTATTATTTTGGGTTAGGGACTTCTAGCTCTATAAAATACACAAATATACATGCATTTATGCATAAAAAAATGACTAAATACCTATGCACAACAAAAATACCAGATATTATGTTGTAAAAAAAAAAAATAGGCCATTAAAATTATTAAGAACTTATATAGCTATATAACAATATCTAATAAATACAAAAATATACAATATGCATAAATGCACCAAAAAATGACTAACTAGTAAAAGTGTGATAAAAAAAGTGTTATTTTAAATTACTTTATATTATATGATAAATACCTCGGTTATAGTTGTAAATGCTATAATATGGTTATGTTTGCTATAATCGTAGCAATGTCTGTGGAAGATAATACCACTATTCGTTTCACAATCAAAAAATGTTATGATATATGAAGATAAACAAAAATTAATACCTGTTATCAAACTGATATATTATTGAATTTATTATCATACTATAATGATAGACTAGTAATTTATATTCTTAATTATTTATACATTATATTTTTTAAATAAATCAATGTATTATATTAAAAAAAAATACGAGCCATGGAGGGGCGAATGCCTCTTTCGCCCCTCCTCTCAAATACACCCTTGCTACTGTGTATGTAGACAAATTATATATAGTATTCGTCGAGTTCATTGGAGTATTCTAAATAATCATCGTTTTTTTTTTTTTTAATCAGTTCCAATAAAATGAAATGTAGGTAAACAATTAGTGGCATATGGGGCCCTGCAAAGTGCGATAATTGAGGAATATACCTCGTTCACCCCCTTTAAAGGTGGACTTGAATAGATATAACACGTTATAATAAATACTCAAATTTGGTAGGGACAAAATTTCACTTCTAAACTAAGTAAAAATAACTAATTTAATTTCGTAAATGCAGATCACTTACTTTAAACAAACAAAAGAACTGCCCATGAAATGAATATTAGTAGTTGATATAAATTAGTATAAATATGATTAATTAGTATAAATTAATATGATTAATTAATATTAATTAATCATATTTAATCTAACCACAAATAGGTACTTACGATAGATATTTTTCTTATTAAAATATGCGTAGTAAAACAAAATTTAAGTAAGTAAAATATGAGTACAGTTAATGTTGATTATAACTATCAACAAAATAATTAATTTAAAATAAAAATTTAATTTTTAGTATTCTTATATCTGATATGAGGGTCTTACTTATAATCAACGATTTAATCAAATGGAACAATTTTAAATCACATTGTTATAAAAACAAAACAATAAATAATATGAGTTACTCATTGATCAGGTATAGTTATATAATATTTACATACACATAGTACATAGTATATACATATTTAATTATAAACGATAATATTAATTTTTGATTAGAATTTAGTGTGTATGTATCAAGGCAATTTGTTAATGATTACATTGATATTGAATCATAATTGTATTCAGCCATGTTTCGCCGTTTAGATTGCTTGCGCAGGACGCAGCACTTTTACTCGTTAAAATATGTATCAAATGTTGTGTTTAACCGTGAAAAATTTGCTCGAAGACATATTGGACTTAACGATGTGGAACAAGAACAAATGCTCAAAGAACTTGGATATCAGGTATTTTGAATTGGCCATGTAAATAAGATGCACATAGAGGTTCCTACTTAAATCGATGCATCTGCTAATAAAATACAAGAAAATGATAAAAAATATGTTTCTTAATTTCTGACTCTTATGATGTTCTTATAATAAGCGATTCAATTACTTTCATTTTTGAGAATTTTTATATATTATTTTTAAATTTTTTAATAACATTTATTATTTTTGTTATTTTATTTTCTTTTTCACATAACTGGTGTTCTGGTCCAGCCGTATGTGTCCTTACAAATTGTAATACATCCACCATTAACTAACTTCTACAATATATAAGTCGTAAAATATATAATGCATCAATATTTTTTAAGGATTTTACAAAAAAAATATTAACTTGCATTATATAGACAATCACTAGAGGTAAAATTAATATATTTACTGTATGTACACAGTTAGTTTAAGTCATTTAAGTGTAAATTCAACTTAATTTGCTGTTTTTAGTTGACAATGCATTATATTTGTTATCATTTTATCAGTCATAGTTCAATAATAAGTTGTTTTACTAAGTAGGTACTTAGTTAAATATAAATTAAATTAAATTAAAACACTATTATGGAGGTTGAACTAACGGACAGAAATATTATTTTTATTTATTTATTATATGCAGGCCCGTATTTAAAAATTTTGCGCCCCTGGGCATATAATTTAAGCCCCCCCCCCCCCCTAAAAAAATAAATAATAATAATATAACACTTATTATTTAGTCCATAATTGAGATTCTTTAATATTAAAATATAACTTGTAAATGAAAATCGTTTAATACTTTTTTTAATTAACAAATGAAACAAATTATAACATAATAAAACATAAAATTTCCTTTTTTTTTAATTACAAATTATAATATTATAAAAATACAATTTTTTTTTTTAATTTACAAATTATGACAAAATAAATCATACTATTTTTATTTTTTTATTGTTCTACTTTTTTTTTTTTATTAGGTACATCATTTTTAAAATTAATTTTGTTAAAATATTGTACCACCCCCCTGAGATTTGACACCCCCGGGTATGTGCCTACCAGTGCCCCACCCCCCTAAATACGTGCCTGATTATATGGCATAATATATAACCATATTATTGATATGTCAAACGATAATGATTTAATGTTATTTAAAATGTTGAAGATTTTATCATTTTCATAGACCAATGTCCTATAATTTAAATTTAACTTACTTAATAGTTTAAATTAATATTTTATTTTATTATTTACCAATTTTTCGGACTAACAAAGCTATATTATTTTGAAATCTTTTATAATATTATTATATTAGTTTTTAACATTGGATCTAAATTTTATCTATACAATTTACAATCTTGGATTCAAAATAAAAACTAAATATTTCAATCCAGTAGACACATTTATTATATAATTTTAAATTATATTTAATTAGTGGTTCACTTCGAGTTTCACAGTTAATACTTAAGCTTTTATTTTATTTCTTAATAACTCAATATATTCTTAAAATCAGCTGTCGACTTCTATACCAACAGAATTGTAGCAACACGACATTTGGGAACATATTACTCAACTAGTAGAAAGAGACCCTGCTCCCAAGGCCCATAATGAAAACCAAAATGTATTAATTGATCGGTAATTATGATATTATTGCATAACTGCACCACGACGGCGATTCGTTATCGTACGGGCATAGCGCGGACTCGTTAATTAAATATCAATACGTGTAAACAAAACCACTATTAAGCTACTGCTCGATACTGCTTACAATACTAAAATATATAGGGTGTGTTCAATAATTATCCCGTCTCGTCGCATGAATTGATACAAATGATGGTTAGATCACTACAAGTTACGTTAAACATAACATATTAGTAATTTATACTCGTACATATACCAATAAATGAAACTCAACAAGAAAAATGACCCAATTAATTATCCTCATATTAATCCATCTCCTCTAATATATATTTTGATGTAAGCAATATCAAAATTTTTTTTTTTATAAATAAATAAAGTAAAATGGAAACATTTCTTTGTAAAAGTTCAACGATGCAATAAGCTTTTCTACTAACACAGTAAACTTTTATAGAGACATTATAAAATATAGCCAACCTATCAAAGCTAATTATCACACGTACCAAAAATTCATTTTTAACTCTATTCTTTGTATCTCTTATATTCCTTCCATCTAAAAATACTTCATCATAATTCTAATTCATAAACCAGATATACCTAAAAATTTTCCATTATTATATCATCCAATTAGCCATTTACTCTTACTTTAATAAATATTGGGGAAAAAATAGTAATAAAATAATAAATACTTAATTATTAATAATTAATGTAAAATCAATTCCAGATACAAAATTGGTTTTAAAAACAAATAATCCTCTCTGCATTAAGTCCATCGTATAGTTGGTGATTGACTTAGGAAAGGGGACTTAGTATCCCAACTAAATTATCAGATATTCTACCGTACCCCAACTATTTTTTCAAAAAAGGACGCATTGGAGGTACTTTATTTAAATCAAATTTTTACTAAATTACAAAAAGTTAATATTTTTATAAAAAATAAACCATTTGCAAAATATATAGGTTAGGAATACCCACGGATTTATAAAACTATATCTGGGAATATAACTAAGTAATTATTAGTTTTGGATACAGTGGAACATGATAAATGATAATAATCAAACATTAACATCAACAATTTATGTTGCCATATACAATTGCGTACCTATTGCCATTACTTACAAAACGCCTGTAGTTTATTTTTTTTCTTGTTATAATTCGAATTTTGAGAATAATTAGGTTGGTAATTTAATCTTTAATAGTTTTCTTGAATTTATGTTTTTGAAAACATTTCAAAGACGGTATACTAGAGAAAGATGTGGGTGGATAGGTACTGAAATGAATGTTGTGAATCATGGTTTATAGATTTTCAGCACGTCACTTCATACTATATATATACATTGAGACTACGGTTCAAAATTTAAAAATGAGTATAATAAGTTGTACAATTTTCATTGGTTTATGATAACATGTTAAAAGGTATCATAAGGGAGTAAACCAGTGGCATCCCAAAACCTTTTTATAAAGAGGGCGAACTACATTCATATATTTACATTTATATATTTTCCTATTAGATAGAGATAGTAAAAAATAAAAAATTTAAGAAAAAAAGGTCATAGGGGAGGGGTAACTGTAAAATTCAACTCCTACGAGAACGCTCATGGGGTTAACAGAGTTATGCTCAGTTTGTAATTAGGTAGGAACGCAAAATTTGTATTTGTATCATCACAGTACCTCTACTATTTTTTCCAAGTCAAGCACTGCGTATAGCTTATATATCTGAATCTCTAGAAAGAAAGAAAAGTACTGTATAGATGTGTTTCTTGATGTACTACAAACGTTCGACCACGTCTGTCATGCAGGTTTTCTGCACAAAATTTGCTTTTTATAAGCCTCCATACATCTTACAATTGGATCATTTTTAAAAAGTTCACTCATTCGTAGTTCGTCGTGTCGAAGAACTTTCCAACAACCAACCCATTAAATCTCACAAGGTACTATCTTATAGCTCCCGCATTTTCACCTCAGGCTTGCCTCATACAACTCATACTATCTTAGCTATAATTGCAGATGATATAGATGTTATAGCTTTAAACAATTATTTAACCCTGGCTCCCGAGAATCTTTAAAATCATTTATAAAATCTTCAAATTTTTTTTTGAAAAATTTATCTGAAAGATAAAAATTAACACAAATAATTCCATATTCATTAATTTTACACTCCATTTTAGTATCAGTCCTTTAATAAAAAGCAATAAAAATATAATGCCTCACAAAAATATCTCAGATATCTTAGTTTTTATCTGGATAGAAAATTAAACGGGGCCAGTCAAATCAAACTAAAAAGAAAATTACTTCATTTAAGACTACATAAACTTAAATAATTTTTAAATCAAAAAAATAATCCTTAACACTAAAACTCATTTATTCAAACAACTAATTCGTCAAATAATGACTAACGGCTTTCGATCATTAATATCGACTTAATAACAAACAAAATAAAAGATTTATAAAATTAATCAAATTACTTTATCAACTTATTCTTGAAGTAGTGTCGTTGGACACCTCTTTCTATCATGTTGACCAGTCTGGTATATAACCCTATTATTTTACTTATTGTATATTCTATTACAGATTGTAAACATTTCAAAGCAATTCAAATACAATTTTCCTTATGATATAGCTGTTTAGAATATCAGGAGTATTAAATTAGGTTTGAAAAAAATCATTTTACCCACATCATTTGTTTTTTTGTATATATTTAAAATCAAATGCTGTATTTTTGTGGATTAATAATAATTTTATACTGGTTTTATTTTACATATAACATATTATTTATTATCTATTTATAATAAAATTATACTTACAAATGCAGAGAATGCTTTATGAGCTAAGACCTCTTAAAATAGTAAACCACTTCCCAGAAATATCTAAAAATTAATGACCAATAATTAAATTATTCAAGATTAATTCATAATAATTATTATAAGATACCTCTCATAGAAATTTGAATTAAAATAATTTCTATTTTTGTTTTATAAATATTTCATACTAAAATTGTAATAATTAAATTTTTTACTCAGAATTTATTTTTGTTACAAACGCCTCATAAATAACCAGTACAAAACCGGACTTCAATTTTTCACAATTTCAAACGTTATTTGCGTCTACAATTATATTGAATTCCATACAATATTTGTCATTGACAATGATCAGAAAACTTTAACCAAATCATATTAATATATTACGTTTGGTTATTTAATAGTTATAGTCAATTTTTACTAGATAAGAGCGTAATGAATTAAACTTTATAAAATGTATATGGACCATATAAATTGATATTTTCAGAGTTTAGAAGATCTGAGCAAGGCCGTGATCCCAGATAGTGTTTATCTTCAGCAGCCACCTAATTTAAAGTCATTAGATGTTATAGGTATGTTAAATGATAATATATAAATATTTGATAACCTTTCGGTTACAAAGGGATTTAATTTTTTTATTAATGAGTTCAAAACATACGCATTAATGGTAGTTCCTGTATAAAATTAAGTCAGAAAGATTTTGCCGACTCAAGTATTTTCTTTGTTATTACAGGAAATTATAATTTATCCACGATATCACGTGATTTAAAATAATTCATTATTGTTTGTATTTATGTATTTGTCTTTAGGTTTTTGTTATAATTAGCCTTTTTAGGATGTACGTGTACAACATTATACTTACAAGTTACACAATAATAATTAAAATGAATAAATAATCTATACTCAAAGTAAACTTATTCATATGTATCTAATAACTATTGTATTAACTATATTAAATGTATTGATAAATGTATTATACTGCGTGTTAATTATAATAACGATCTTATTCTTGAGTCATTTTAACTCCAGATAAGAAATAATTTGTTATTTCTACTTTTTGAATTTACTATTGATAAAAACAATACACAAAACTAAAAATATAAAATAAATTAATAATCTGATAGGTAATTAGCTATACAATATAGTATACTGCGAAATTAATTTTATATATTTTCAATTATTTGATTATCATGAAAATTAGTAAAATTCAACGATATTATAATTATAGCTTATAGGTAATACAATTATAACTTCGCAGATGAACAAACTCTAGCTACTTTGGTAAAATCAATTGCAAATGAAAATCAAACATGGAGAAGTTTTATTGGGATGGGTTATCACAATTGTTTCATGCCTCATGTCATCACAAGAAACATGTTAGAAAATCCTGGCTGGTAATTTTTGTCTTAGTGTTTTTTTTGTTAAAATTATTTTTATATTGATAATATTTTGCTTTGTAGGTTGACACCTTATACTCCTTACCAAGAAGAAATTGGACAAGGCAGACTAGAGGGTTTATTAAATTTTCAGACATTAATAATAGATCTTACATGTATGGACGTGGCCAATGCATCTTTGTTGGACGAAGCCACCTCTGCTTCCGAAGCATTAGCGATGACTTACCGATATAATAAACGAAAATGTTGGTTCGTGGCCGAGAATGTACACCCTCAAACGATATCAGTAATACGTACAAGAGCTTCGGCTCTAGGTATCGAGGTACATGTCGGTAATCTAAGCCAGACAGATTTTAAGCCATACAGTGGAATATTATTGCAATACCCCGATACTTATGGATATTTATTGGATTATGAGGAAATCGTAAATAGAGCGCACAAGAACGAGGTTTGGTTGAACGCAACTAATAATTCATTTATAAGGATTTATTGTATTTATGTCTACGCTTATAGGCGTTAGTTGTATGTGCTACAGATTTGTTGTCACTCACCTTAATTAAAGCACCTGGTGAGTATGGTGTTGATATTGTGGTTGGAAGTAGTCAGCGGTTCGGTACTCCACTTGGATATGGAGGACCGCATGCTGCATTTATTGCGTGTAGAACACCTTTAATGCGGTTAATTCCTGGAAGGATGGTTGGTGTTACCAGGTAAAGGTTTATTGTACAGTAGGTAACTGTTAAATCGAACACTTATTTTGCACACAATTTTATGAATAGAGACATAGATGGGGACCAAGCGTACAGATTGACTTTGCAAACTCGCGAACAACATATACGTCGTGAACGGGCAACAAGCAATATTTGCACAGCTCAGGCTTTATTAGCAAATTTAGTAGCTATGTATGCTGTCTACCATGGACCTAATGGATTGAGGAATATAGCTGAAAGAATACATAATAACACCATAATACTGAAGACTGCGTTAGATGAAATAGGTTGTAATACTAGTAACATTGAATTTTTTGATACTTTGCATATAAAAAGTAACACTCCACGACAGGAAATAATAAATCGATGTAAAGAAAAGATGATTAACCTAAGATATTTTAATGACCAATCTGTAGGTATACATTTCATTTTGTACTAAATTATTTTGTTTTTAAATATGAAAATGTTTCTTCAGATTGGCATATCATTGGATGAAACCGTAACAGCTAAAGACCTAAGTGACTTGCTATGGATTTTCGGATACACCAAAAACGTAAATCAAGTTAGTGCAATTTACATTAATATACATTAATGATTAAATAAACTAAAAAAACTTTTTTGTTCTAGATTATATCTAATTGCGAAATTTTGGAAAATAGTGTAAGTAAAACAAAATTTAAAAGGACCTCACAGTATTTACAACACCCAGTATTTAACATTCATCAATCAGAAACACAAATTGTTCGATATATGAAGCAATTGGAAAATAAAGACGTTTCACTTGTGCATTCTATGATTCCTTTAGTGAGTATAATTATCAACTAAAATGCATATTCGTAAGTAGGTGTACATTTATATGAGTTCAATATTTTTTCTATTAGGGATCATGTACGATGAAACTGAACGCTACCGTCGAACTGCTACCGCTATCAGAACCGGGATTTATAAACATCCATCCGTTTGTACCACCTGAACAAGTTAGAGGATATCAGCGCCTATTTCAAGAATTAGATAATGATCTCTGTCAACTAACTGGTTATGACAAAATATCTTTTCAGCCTAATAGGTATTTGCGTAATACATTTTATAAAAATATCTATCAAATACTTATGTAAATATTTACTCTTGTAGTGGATCTCAAGGAGAGTTTGCCGGCTTATGCGCTATAATGAAATATCATCAACACCGCGGAGATAATATCAGAAAAGTGTGTTTGATTCCTACGTCAGCACATGGCACAAACCCAGCATCTGCACAAATGGCTGGAATGGACATACAACCAGTGTATGTGTCTAAAGATGGTTGCATTGATGTACAGCATCTTAAAGACAAGGTAATTAAACATATTAATCAATAAAAAACCAAATTATTTTTGACTGAATAAGACTAAAATGTACAATATAATATTACTTATTAATTATCATATTTATTTTAACTATAGGTTGATGAATTTAAAAATCAATTATCGTGTATAATGATCACATATCCATCTACTAATGGAGTATTTGAAGAATCTGTTAAGGACATTTGTGAATTAATTCATACGAATGGTGGACAAGTATGACATCTCAATTCTTGCAATATTAAATGAAAAAATATTTAACTAACTAAACATAACATTTAAATTTCAGGTTTACTTAGATGGAGCTAACATGAATGCTCAAGTTGGACTTTGTCGTCCTGGTGATATTGGAGCAGATGTATCTCATTTGAACTTACACAAGACATTCTGTATACCACATGGTGGTGGAGGTCCTGGAATGGGCCCAATTGGAGTGTAAGGAAAAATTATTGTTTGCCATTTTATAAATTATGTACTCGTATAATACATAATTTATTTTTAACTGTTTAGTAAATCGCATTTGATTCCTTATTTACCAACTCATCCGTTAAGTCAAACTGGTGGTAAATTTACTTTAGGCGCCATAAGTGCAGCACCCTACGGATCAGCCTCTATCATCCCTATTTCTTGGGCATATATAAAAGTAATTTGTACTGAATTTCATTGCTATATTAAAAATATATTAACAATTATAATTTGTAGTTGATGGGCTCCGAAGGACTCAGAAAAGCTACTCAAGTAGCTGTATTAAATGCTAACTATATGAGTAAAAAATTAAGTACACACTATAAGACATTGTTTGTTGGTACCAAATGTGGATTGGTAGCTCATGAATTTATATTAGATACTAGAGAATTAAAAAAGACCGCCAATATTGATGCGACAGATATTGCCAAACGATTGATGGATTACGGTAAACATAACATAATGATTGTATGATTATTTAAATGTATTGATTTAATTATTTTGTATTTTTTTTTTTTTTTTTTACAGGATTTCATGCTCCCACTATGTCTTGGCCTGTTGCTGGTACGTTAATGATAGAACCTACTGAATCTGAGAGTAAAATAGAATTGGATAGGTTCTGCGATGCCTTAATTAGTAAGTAAATTATTATATTTTATATTTTATTATAGCTTAAATATTTTTTTTTGTTTTAGGTATAAGAGAAGAAATTAGGCAAATAGAAAATGGCTCGGTTGATCGGGATCAAAATGTTCTAAAGTTTGCACCCCATACATTAAAACAAATTTGTAATGATGAATGGAATAAGCCATATTCCAGGAAATTAGCAGCTTATCCAATGGTAATGCATGCTTGTATTGATTTTGAATTTATATCAAATAAAAAAAAAAAAATAAAAATTATAATATTCGTATAGGTAAGTTTGATTAATTCAATAATTATGTTTGTTAGGGATACGGACAAAAAGTTTGGCCAAGTGTAGGGCGTATAGACAGCAAATATGGAGATCAAAATGTAGTTTGCAGTTGTCCATTAGTATTTTGAAGTTAATAAATACTTCAATATATATATGGTCATAGATGGAACCACGAAGTGTCCCATATGTGTATAGGCACATCCTAATGTAAAAAAAAATTACTAATATAAATGAATAATTCACAAATAAATAATGTTTAAAACGTATTTTCATTTTATTTAAGTTTAACTACAAATGTACTCAGTGGCGTAGGAGCCCCCCCCTTTTCTTGAACTGTGTATTACATTTGAACACAATAATATCTACTCGTATTATATTATATAATGTAGGATAAAATAATGATTTGTTATTTGCAAAAGAAAATAAAAATAGTAAATACATTGTTTTACCATAACGAGAAGAAATATCGAAAATTTCCCTTTTCTTATACTTTTAATTTAAGCAAACTTTTAAAAAATAAGCAACAAGACACATGTAATACTTTGGCTGACGTATTACAAATAAAAAATGCTTAATAAATCTTTCAAAAAAATAATGGAAAATGTTTCTAAATTACCCAACTTCTATTGTAAATGTTAATATTAAAATGCCTCATGTTTGTAATAGACAGACCAAACTTGTTAATGTTAGTTTCCATAGCCTAGAAGAATATTTTTAAATATCTTTATTTATATCATTTCTCGATAATTTAATATCCCAGTAGATTTTAACGTATGATTTTGTTGTTATATTTGATGAGCTCCTCCCTTGGGAGATTTCTGGCTATACCACTGTATGTATTCAAAATAGGTCTGTGGAATAATTATTACCTCATATAGATTTCCAATTGTTATTCCTAAAATTTTGATTTTAAATCACAACATGGTTACATAGTACCTAATATTTTTATTATATTATCACCGATCATCGAATTTTAGCCAACACATTATAAGTCAAATAGTGGAAATAAATATTATGAGCGAATAAATATTGTCTTTTCTCAAAGAGTGTTAGCATGCTGAGAGCCAATATGATTATAAATAGATCACCTTTGTATTTCATTCATCGTGGTTCAAATAATTTTTAGATGTAATAATATTGTCAATTTTATGTTTTTAACTTTGTATGAACAAAACCATTGGATATACTTTAATGACAGATGTTATTTGTAAGTATTTAACCAGATATGTTGTTTGATTTACCAACCAACATTTGATTTCCTAACCTTACAAATAATTTATCCTTATGCATATGATCATTTATATGTTGACAAAAAATTTTATTTTTTTATTTTTAATAGTAAATTAACTAATTTGCTAGATGAAATTACTTTATTTTAAATAATATAAAATCCTAAAAGAATAATATTTACCAACATCAAGTAAAAACATAAATCTAAGTAACTCTTTTAGTAATACGATTTAATTTTATTTAAATAAAAAAATTCAAAATATAATAATTTTAATAGTTATAATAATATGAAACATGACAATCTTCTTAAATAAAAGTATGACAATAAAGTTGTTCAGCCAAATTCTTCACAACTTCTAATCTAAACTGGTAATTTGTTGCATTAATTACAAAATGTTGCATGACTAGATGTAAAAAACTAAATAATAGAGATTCATGTTCTTTGTTCTAACATAAAATTAGTTTTGAGCAAAAATAATAGATAAAAAAAATCTACAAGAAGCCTAATGTTAATAGTGCAATGAATAAAATAAAAATTAATGAAAATCAGTTAAAAATAAAAAAGTATTACATTGTCAACCAAGGAAGACTTTTCATTAATTTTGTACTGTTAATTGTAGTCATGCGTGGCAACAGAAAAGAAAATGCAAATTTTTTTTCAAAATTATAAAATTAACCATTTAAACATATCTTTGGTAAACAATAATATTAGGCTAAATGGCACTGATTTAAGTCTTGGTTAACAAGCAAACATAAATATCATGCCAATTAGATAGAATAAATGATTTTGAAAAATTAAAAATTAAAAATGATGTATCTAAACAACCCTTTTGAATTATTTTTATACAGAGGTAGGAATATAACTGTTCACTTCAGTCTGTTTCACTAGGCTATAATGCATTTCCTTTGTTGGTGTTTGAGTGGTACAGGTCGCAAAACAGCTCTTACAGCTTCATCAAACACCTTAAATATTCATGATAACAATTTGAATTACAGTAATTAATACTACGAAAACTACCAAATTCACTTACAAGTTTTAATCCTCTTTGCGTCAATGCAGAACATTCAAGATATTTGACAGCTCTTATTTTGTTGGCCAATTTCTGTCCCTGTTCACGTTTTATTGGAGACAGTCCTTGCTCGGATAAAACATTCAATGTTTCTTTATCTTCTCTTAAATCTATTTTCGTACCAACTAATATCATAGGTGCATCTGGGCAATGGTGTTTAATTTCCGGATACCATTTAGAAACCACATTTTCAAAGGATGATGGACTAGCAACACTAAAGCAAACCAAAAAAACATCCGTCTAAAAAATAAAAACAAATAAATAATTAAAACAATTACAAAATAATGAGAATATAATACGAGTGTGATATTCCAAGATTTACAATTTTTAAATAGTATTAGCTATATTTTGAAATTTGATAAAAGAAAATGCATTGAGATACCTGAGGATAGGACAGTGGTCTTAAACGATCGTAATCTTCTTGGCCTGCTGTGTCCCAAAGACCAAGACTAACTGGTATACTGTCAACTACCATTGGCGCTGAGTAATTATCAAATCTAAAGAAAGACAAGAAAAATATGATAAATATTTCTTTGGCTATTTAGCGTGTAACTTTTTACTTACACTGTAGGTACATATTCTCCTGGAAAGCTGTCGGTAGTGTATGATATTAACATGCATGTTTTTCCCACAGTGCCATCACCAACAACTACACATTTTATTGGTCTTCCCGCAGACATGTTTTGAAAACTAAATAGTATTCGTTGTTCCTTTTCAAAGCTTTAACTAAATTTGTTTGTTTATTACTTTAAGCTGCAAACATGCATTTACTAGTATTCACTGTACAACACACAACACTGAAATACTTAACAATAACTTTTCGGTTTAACAGCTACTAAATCTAATAGACACAACCATGTCAATTAATTTTAATTAGTTTATAGATTAATAAATAAAAAATAAATAAAAAAAAGTCTATTAAAAAATTGACGTACTTATCATTTTATTTATTTATCAACATTAGAAGGGAGTTATCATTATGCAGATGGCTGTACATTTGAGGTTACACACGTCTCTAACAATAAAACTACAAACCGATCGTTTTTCGTACAACCGAAGTTACTGATAACAATGATAATACAATTTCATAAATTTTAATACTAATATAAATATTTTCCCAAAGGTGCAAAATATTATTTTGTTTAATTCATTGCTGGTCAATACTACACAAAGTTAAAATTTGAAAAGATATTTATAAGCAATTCAATATAAAAAACTTTTACTATCCATTTTCTGAGACATTTATTATTATATTTAATAACATATTTTTGTCTCTCTAAGGACGTACTATATTCAGTTAACAGTTTTGATGTAGTATTTTATTGAAAAATCTAGATATATCCGTATATGATTCAATCAAATAACTGAAAATGGAATTTCCTTTTAAAGTAGTAAGTTTTAATATTTTTCAAATTACTCATTTTTATGATAATAATAATCAACTGTATGTTGTACATAAACACCGAACAATATAAATTATTAAATTGTAATTCATTTGATTTAGATATTTAAGTGTATAATTATTAGAGGGAAAAAAATTAAGCACTGAAAATACAAGAAGTCTTTGCAGCCTATAATCATAGCTAAACGAAGACTGTCTAAAGTATTATTAGTTTTACTATTACAGGGTTCTATTAAATATATATAAATTATTATCCTTGTATTACTTTTCTTCTACAATTTAACCTTCCATTATAATTTTAAATAGGTTTTTAATTTTATAAACTTTCCATAATACAATTAATTTTTTTGTGGAAAAATAGTTTAAATTATTGAAAACTGTATATAGAACAACCATTTCAATTACCTGGACACATTCAAGTGTCCAGCTTTTCGAAAAAGAATTTACAAAGTGACATGTGTATAAATTATTTCAAATATTTTTTAATTCAATATCTAGCCCAAAAATTTTCATATTTGTTGCAACAGGTTTTTAAATTGTTAATATTTTTAATCTCTAAAAAGGTCTTCAAGCCTCCATATTTATTATTGTTTTAATCAAAACAAAATCTATAGGTTATAAAAATTGAAATTAAGTAATTATTTCATATGTCTTATAAGCATTAGTTAGGTAGCTATTAGGAATTTTAAAATCTGTCTTTAAAATACCATGTAGATGAAATTTTTTATGAAAAATGTTTACTACATGAAAAACTTTCACTATGTTTCATTTCTACAATGTAACTACCAAAAAAAATTACAAATTATTGTAAAACCATAACATTTTCACTTAGTCAGCCCAAATTCTAGATTATAATGTTATCGATCATCAGTGCTGTTATTAGTGGGTAGGCAACTTATACAAATGCATAGGGCCTTGCATGTAACATAAATTCTGGTACCCAAAATTTGTCAAGTAAGAATAGTTAGATATATTTAGACGTAAGGAAATTGTACTGCTTTTGCCTAAAGCTTTGGAAAAACTTATGACGTTTCTGATTCATGTTTTCATCATGTGGTTTATTCAAGTATCTGTTTTTATTTTAAATAATTTAATTTTTCATTCCATTTTCAGTGATAAATATTAATACTATATTAGACTAATGTTGTATTAGTTTTTGAATCAATAAACCACTCTGTTTCTATGACAATTGTTTTTGTTTACACAATATTGTGTACTGAATACATTTTATTTATCAAACAACAAGAGCTTAAATAATACATTTTAATTAAAAAGTAAATTTAAGATACAGGAAAATATTGTAAATTTATCAAAATAATTATTTAACAATATCTTATTAAAGTATGATGTATTTAATAATATTCTATAAAATAGTGATTGTATACTGTATACAGTAAAAAATGTTTCTTATATTTTATATATATATTATATTATATGTATAGAGATGTACATTTTTATTTGCATATATTTTCGTCCATCATATTTTTAAATGGGTTTAGCGGATATTATCATGATAAATTATTATTTTATTATTTTTGGGTAGTTAAACTCTTGTATGTTTACATTTTAAAGCATCTGAATTCTTAAAATTACATGTTGAAGTGACTTAGTATTTCGTTTTCTATGACCCATATCATAACGACCGTGTAGCAATTCGCTTTGCTGGATTTATTTCGTAACAGTTACTCCCTTGCACCAAATCTTTTTTATGCATTATTGGTACCTGTTATATATTTACGATTTACCCCATAACATAGTTCTTCATAATACTAATACGTTTTTTTTTCCTACCAACTACTGGAGTATAAAAAATACGTTAAAAAAAGTCATTACCTCGGCTTTTTAATTTTACGAAACTTAATACTATCTTATAAGTATATATTATTAGTAAAAAAATTACATTTTCTAGTTATATATAACAATATTACTAAAATAAATTAAAGTTTTGTACAAATCTATCTATTTAAAATGTTGTATATTTGTTTTTCTGATTCGATAATTTTGACTTATCTAAGACATTATGTATACTAATTATAACTAATTGTAAATTATAATAAACAAAGAACGGCAATGGATCCCAATATGTAAAAAACATTTCTTTTTTTGTGATTAAAATGTTCAATAAACGTTTAATTGAATAAAACGTATTCATATAAATAACTGTTTCGTAGATCAATTTTGTAACGTAATATCTTTCGGTTATTTCCATTTTTGGCGATAATGATTGATGCGCGCACGGTGGAAATATTATTTTTTCTAAATTACTTTTATAAAACGTGTATATTATGGGTACTCCGATTTGACATTCTAATGGTATCACTTTTTTCGAAGGTGTTATACAAATTTTAAAAGTCAGAATGCTGTCAAACGAAAATGACAACGTTGAAATAAAATGTACCACCCAATTATCAATCAATTCGTTTTGCATGATATTACCGTTTCGTATATTACACGTCACATTTGCAATAACTTTTCCATTTTGCACTGTCGTGCATGTATTATAATAAGTTCCGAGACAATTTTGTACCAAAAGCCACGGACAGTCATCGGAAACCGTTCCTGGCAGCTTCAAGGATTTTCTGGTTGCTGGCAATTGTAAACTGTGTTTAGTTTTACACCCGGACAATCCAATATTGACAATGAAATGTTTGTCGGCCCGAAATGATACGTTATCGTACAATTTTATAATGTCTTCTTTAGAACAAACTCTTAAATGTTTTGGAACTAACATGCCTTCAATTTCACATTTGTGAAACACTTCGGATAAATCATTTAAAATAGAAATTCCGTCGAGTCCTGGCGCGAAACATTTACATCCTAATAATTCCAAATGAGATTTTGCTACCGCGTCGTAGTATGATGATACTGTGGTTCCTGTAGGCACATAAAAGTTAACCCGTTCCTTTTCTACGATTGATCTTAAAGCGTCTACATATTGAACACAGTTGTCATCGTTCGGCTTCGGTATGGTGTAATAATTATCGACTGCTATTGAAAAATAAGAGAGTTCTGCAAAGCCTTCTATTTCGCATAATATAACTCTGGCGCCAGTTAGATAAAAGTTTCTTGCTAAATGCAATGTTTGTACAGTGCTTCCTCCATTTATCAACACTGTACGTTGTTCTCCTTTATGTTTTCTTGTTGCAAAGCAAAAGCGTAAAATATATTTTGAAATTACCAAAGGTATTCTTATACATTTCCATGTCAATATTAACCAAAAACATAACCACATTGATGAAATTCGCAGTAGTAATGTATTTATCCACTTTAAACCTAGGAATGATTTAAATAATTTCCAAAAGAACGTTATGTACCAATTAATTGTTCCGACCTCACCATTATGTGGTTGTAACAATCGACCTGGTGGTGGAGAAGTCCGTCTATCTAGGAGATAAAATGTTGATTTAGAACGATTAAAGCTGTGTGAAGGTGAAACAATCGGTGAAGAAGTACAGCTACCCGAATTGCACTGGTAGCGGTCATTAGAAATAGGTATTTGACGAACTGTGTCCGGCATTATGAACAAGCGAACTAGTACTGTTGAAATAGAGAAACTTGGTTTGGTTGAATGGTCAAAGTTCTGAAATACATATTTTATCAGGTTTTGCGGATCGCTTATTTTCAACCTTTGATTTGTTTAGAGTTACCTATATAAATAAATTTTATTTTATAAATTTAAAATATTAATTGTTAATTTAATACGATTTTCACACGTATCATCAGATAAACAGAATAATTTGTTTTAATAAGGTTGCAATGGCTATACTGTTGTAATAATAAATATCGACCTTATAGTAATAATTTTCTTCTCATAACTCATTGGTCTAGTCGTTCTTGAGTTAAAAATGGTTTAACTAATTCGACATTGTTTTATTTATACAGATATGTATAGTAATATTTAAAAATACTATTCAAAATATAATAAAGTTCTAGTACGATATATATACAGAAAGATTAATTTTTTGCTATCATGTTTAATAATTTTTCTCTTCAGACATAATTATCTTGTATCCCCATTTATATTAAGAAATAGATAGATATAATACACACAAAATAATATGAATATAAAGTAGTAATTACAATTTAATTACCGAAGAATAATACTGATGTAGTTTGAACTTTAATACACTTAATCAATGCTGTTATTTGTTTCTAATATTTTTTATAGATAAATTAAAAAAGTTTTAGTTAACGGAAATTAAATAATAATATAATTTATAGTTCTATTGATATTTAAAACAAATTTTTTTATAATTTAAAATTCCATTAGATTTTATTATACTGATATGAGACGTATTTAATATATTTAAAACATTCAACTTTATTTCAATTTAAAATTATTTACAATTTATAATCCTTATACTTAGATCTATAAAATTATACATTTAGTATTCTGTTGTACATTTATAGGCTTTAAATAGTATTAATTTTTAAAAATAGTGATTACTAGATCTATTAATAAAAATAAAAAAAATATTCTACGAAGATAGTATTTTAAATAAAGCATAACAGTATTATATTGTACATGAAATAAAACCTGTCTTTGATGGATTTTTTATCTTGTATTATCAACAAATATATATTGGTATGCATTATTGAAAATTTTACTACTGCAGGATATTTCTTTGGTTTTATTTTCTCATGTGATTCCGTCTTGGACAGTTTTCATTTAAACATCATTGCCTCAGTTGGACATTTTAGTGAATGCAATTAAATCGTTTCAAATATATTAATAATCATTGATTTCATAATATGTCTATTTTATGATAAAAAATTAATTTAAAATAATTTATTTTAATACATTTAATTTTTAATATATTTTAGATATTGTTTTACTTATGCGGAAATGGAAATTTAAAAGTTTTATTCTATAATGTTAATTATTATTAAAAATATTATTTTTATTTCCAGCAGTTTTTATTTAATAAAATCTCTGTATTATGGACCTAAATAGTAATCATTTTTATAAAGCATTGAAATTATTAGATATAATTTTAATTGTTGTTGTAGAATATATCTACAAGTCGCATAAAATCGTTTTTATCACGTAATAATTATAATTTCCTCATATCAATGTACTCAAATAATTAATAAATTATATTGTTTTTAGGTAACACCTGATATAAGTTCGGATAATCATGGACCAAGGTAAGACATTTAATAATATTTACAATGGAACTTTATAATAATCTTTAAAATAACACTTTGAACTAACATATTAATGCTAGTATTACATTTATATTTTATTTTTACACTGCATTATCAGTGGTTGTTTTCACGACTATTTTTACTTATTGTTGCACGCGCAATGCAATTTCTCAATGCTTTATAATCGCTTCCTGCTGTCAACTTTCAAAACTTTTGTGATTAATATTATGTCTGAAAGGCTGAAACCATTTCACCCGCATTTTTCCTTTGAGTAAAAAAAAAAAATTAAATAAATAAATAGTGCCAGTATGATTTTGCGAGTTACCCTATCATGTTTAGTTTAAACGCCACCATAACATTATAAAAGTACTGAAATTATCTGATCATATAATCACCCTCATTTATTACCCATTATATTTAACCCTAAAAGAAAACAATCAATGACAGAAAAACGTTATGATTTAATACCTAACTGAAATATGCATAAGTCATGCGATCCGTAACTCCGCCTTTAGGGTTTACTGTCGTGTGTCATGGAATCAGAAGTGTCACGTGACGAGAACAATTTGTCTCCGTATCTGTCGGCGAGATCACGGTTACCCCTTTGCCTACCCGAAGACGCCAATATGGAGATGGCACTGGCACCTGAATCCCCAAAAATTGAACAACAGTCGCAAAAGACACTCGTTGTTGAGGTGGTGTCTCTAAGACCGATTGAAAAATTCCGCAGGGCCGTTGCTAAAATGCCTAGGGTAAGTATACTTTTAAAAATGATTTTTAAGTTCAATGGTCTTCCTGATTGAATTACTATCAAGCTTATCATCGAAAGTATTCTGAATTTGCTGTTAGTACCTCAGTTTAATGATAAATCAATTAGAAAGTTTTTATCAGATTTAAAAAACTTTTTAGGGTGATGGTAAAACTTAAAAACTCTTTTTAGTAGATATATTGTCTTTATTTTTACACAATTGCACCGCAAAGTGTTTAAAAACAATTTTTATATAACTTATATTTTAAAATATTTAATTAGTTCTCTAAGAAAGAAACAGCTTCACAAGGGAAATCCAGAAATGTTCCAAAACTGGGTACTGAAGGTATAGTTCGAATGGATGGAGGACGAACAAGTTTAAGATTACCAACAAATCGTTCACAAAAATCCGAACCACCAATGGATTTAGCTCGGGAGAACCAGGCTTTACACGAGCGCCTGCGGGAAGAAGCTGCTCGATATGATAGACGTTTAGACACTTATAAATTGGCACAACAGAGACAAGCTGTTCTTGTTAGCAGACTCCAAGCAAAGGTTAATTTTTAAATTGTTCAATCACATGATTTTATATTTAATATAACTTTATATTCCAGGTTATGCAATATAGAGAACGATGTGCCGAGTTGGAAAGGGAAATGCGAAATAGTATTCCAGCAATTGATAATGTTAGGAGTTATCGTGATTCAATTAGAGATTATCAATCAATGGACTTGGACTCTGCTTTGCATGCTTTGGAACAAGAACGGACCAAGTACAAATAATAATCTATTCTATATTTTGGCAGTCTATAAGATATTATTTTTTAAATTTTAGGTCGGAAAAAATCCTTGAATTAAATTCTACTCTTAAAGATCAGTTGGATGAGGCCCAAACAAGTAATGAAATATTATCAACAGATTTACAAAAACTAACAAGTGACTGGGAAAAAATGAGAGATGAAATGAATGCTAAAGAAGATGAATGGAAAGAAGAAGAACAAATGTTTAATGAGTACTGTTCATTAGAACATGGTAGAATGATGAGTCTTTGGCAAGATGTAGCTCAAGTGAAACGAATGTTCACTGATATGAAATCATCAACTCAGCAAGATCTTAATAAAATTCGTAGTGAACTTTCATTAGCATCAAATGACATGGTTACTACTTGTAGTGGTTTAGTGAATGCTGTTAAACGGTCTACATATGCTGAAGTATTGTATGCAGTTTATTATAAATTATCTAAAAATTATATGCCTTTTTCAATTTTAGGAAAAACAATATGAGCAACTTTTGAAAGAAAATACAACACTTCAAAATAAAGTAGAACAACTGCAAAATGATTATGAGACCATATGTTCACAGTTACGCCAAAAAGAAATGCAATTAGAAGATCTTAAGGCCAATCTTTCTGAAATTGTGAGTATTATCAGTATTTTTAATTTATTTATAACATTATTTAAAATTTTGTACTTGTATAGGAAGATAAATATGTGGATGCCAATAAAAATGAAAAAGAAGCAGACAATTTACGTATTGATATTGATGTATTAATGTCTGGAATGCAGGATATAGTTAAAGTATTACAACAAGACAAAGATATTATTGGTGAAATAATCAGACCTCCAGCTCCACCCCATGTTCATCTTAGCACCTCAATTATTAAATCTGACTCAAAGTTGAAACCAGTTTCTGCAACTAGTAACTTTGTTGATAGTACTTTGTCAGCTGTCCAGTCAATTGTTTATAGATATCAGTCTAATATTCATGAACTTCAAATTCAATTATCATCTTGTGTTGATAAAATGTCAGAAACAAAAAAACATTGTGAACAGTTGGAAATATTGGAAAAAGAATTACAAATAAAAATTGAAGAATTAAGTAAAGAACTAGATGAGTGTCGTACTGTTAATAATCAATTAGGACATGAACGTGATTCGCTAGCAGAAACACTTGAAAGACTACGGAATGAAACTCAAGCATTGCAGCAAAACAGAATGCACGTTAGTGCTGTGGTAATGTATTTTAAAATATTAACATATCTACTTTATATCAAAATCAATAAAATTATTATTAGAAAATATGAAATTAATAAAAAAAAAAAATTTAAACTTTAGGTAGAGAATATGAATTCTGATTATGATAAAATACAAAAATCTAATAGTAAATTACAAAAATTAAATGATACATTGGAAGATGAAAAAATGTTCCAACAAGGAGAGATAGATCGGTTATTAAAGGAAATTGATATAAGAATATTATCAGAAAATGAAGTACAAGATAGGTGTAGCTGTTTAAAAGAAGAATTGATAAGTATCAAAGAAGAATTAAATCAAGTTTATTTGGATAAAGAACTTTTAGAACAACGTTGTCTTGAGCTTGAAATTTTGCAAGCAAAAATGGAAAAAAATAAGGGTATTTATTTTTAATATTATTAAATAGTAAACACCAACAATAATTTATACTCCATATAATATTCTGTACATTGTAAAATATTTTAATAGTGTTCATAGTAACATTAGTAATTTTGGTTTTTCATTTAATTTTATATCTAGTATAAATCACAATTTATCACTTATATTTATTGTAAATTAGTGGTGCTCATGCTATACTGTACAGGAGCATGTGAACCACCCAAAAAGTTATATAAAAGATTATTGGATTCCTGTAGTAAATTATAATTGGTTATTATGCACATAATCAGTAAATAATAAAAATATTTGTTAAAAAGAACAGTTTTCGCAACTGAAGAAGTATGTATATTAATAATTAAATAATTAACGGAGCACACGTGTGTTGTGCTCCGTGCGGCCATACACAAGTTAGCTACATGCGTAGACACGTCGGTTAATAATACATGATCATTTGGAGCACAATCAATATGTATACTGGGCTAAATTTTATCGCTCCGCGAATCACATCAATCATGGAAATAAGATTTTGTGTTTATTTCTCATACAAAATTAGTATTTTTTTTTACTCACCTACTTAGGTTATTGGTAAAACCTAGTTGTAGGTATCTTACAAATTAATTGTGCACCACCTTATGTAAACCTCACGATCCGTCACTGTTGTAAATAAAATTTATAATAATATTAATTTAATTGTTATAGAACTATTGTAATTTATAATCATATTAGAATTATTTTATAAATAAAACAAATTATTAAAACATATTTATGAGAAAACTTTAGTAACTATTAATTTATTTTTAACTTTTGTATTTTTAATGTATTAAACAATTAATATTATAAAAATATTTAGGAGATCTTGAATGTGAGTTAGAAAAAATTACATCAGACCGAACTGATTGCCAAGATTCATTAGCTAAAGCCGAGTCACTTATTTTGGATGCAAATACAGAAAAAATCAAACTACAAAAAGAACAAGAGAAATTAAATGAAGAAAAAAAGGATCTACTAATTAAAGTAGATGATTTATCTAGTGATTTAGTAGCTCTTAGAAAAGAATTACTTCAAATGGAGCAAGATAAGCAAGAGTTAGAAGTTGAACGGTCAAGTATTACTGAAAAATGGAAATCAACATCATTGGAAAAAGAGAAGGTAATGAAATATAATTAATTATTATGTACAGTCGAGTCGCGATAACTCGAAGTTAAAGGGGGATAAAAATTCATTTCGAGATATGTATTATTCGAGATATCTAACTAATTTATAGGGGAATAAAACACAATTCGAGTTGTCATGTTTTTCGAGTTATCACAACTCGACTGTATTAAAAAAGTTTTTCTATCTTCGAATAGAAAAATTGAGGTAGACTCTTAGACGTTAACCAGGAGGGGGCTATATGGGGCACTTGCCACCCTCCCCTAGAATTTTAAATTTGTTTTCTAAACATTATCTGTAATGTGCCAATTTAGTAAACGTAGATTACTTTAATATAACATATATATAATTTATAGAAGAAAACTATCTTTAAATAATAATTGGATTATTTTATCTTATCATGTATCTTATATTTGATGAAAAAGAATAATGTATAAATAAAATGTATAATAATAATATCTAATTGTAATAATGATGAGACATATTTTTTATTTAGTTGGAAAATGAATTAGAAGAATTATTGAAAGATCGATCTCATTTGGAAGATCAGTTGATAAATGAGAAACACAAAAAACAGTCTCTTAATGAAGAATTAATTCGGTTAAATCAAAAGATTGATCATACTATGGAATCAAATTCTAGATTAAATATTCAACTTCAAAATATTATAAAAGAAAGTGAAGAAAAACAGGTTGCGATTTTAATGACTACTTTTTGTATTAATGATTAAAATTTGACTACATTTATTATTTAGATTGCTTTAGACGGGTGTGGTAAACAATTAGATAATTTGGAACGACAATTATCTTCTCTGTGTGGAGAAAAAGAAAACCTTGAAGCAATGTTGTATGATGTACAAAATAATTTGGGAATATCAGAAAATCGGTGTAAGCAGATGGAACGGGAAAAGCAAGAATTATTAATAAAACAAGTATGCAATTGGAAGAAATTAAAATTGGATTAATTAATTAATTTTTTCTTTTTTTTTTCAAAGGAATCAATGAAAGGTGAAATATATCGCTTGTGTAAAGATATAGAAAATTGTGAACAAGCTGCAAATCATACTAAGACTGAACTAATAAATCAATCTAGAGCTTTGGAAATAGAATTCCAACAAACCATTGAAACGTTGAAGAAACAAGCTGAAGAAAACATAAAAAAATTATCAAACGAAAAAGTATGGTTTATTGAAAGTTCTTGAATGAAAATAGCTATTTCTTAAATAATTATTGTCATAGGATAATAGGTAATTAAGAAATTTTTTTTTTTAGGAAACATTAAAAGTTAACTATGAAAGAAAAATTCAAGAAGATCTAAACCGATTAGGAAAAAGCAAAGATAATGATATAGAAAAATTAAAACAAAAATTAGATGTGTTACAGAAAAATATTGACACTATAACGCAACAACATGATGAAGCGCTATTGAGGGCTGAAAATGATAAACAACAAACTTTATTATTAGGTTAAAAAAAAGGCAGTAAAATAATTATTAGTTTTATTTATAAACATTAAATTCTTTTTTTTAGTTCATCGAGATCAAAAAGCAGTAGTTACTAAATTAGAAAGTGTTAAAAAAGAATTACAAGGAGAAAAGGAGAACTATGAACGTTCCCTTAGAGAGACACGTGGAAAATTAGAGAATGAAAAGACTTTGGTAAGCTCATTGCGTGAACAGTTAGCCAAAGTCAAAAATGAATTAAATGAATTACGTATGCAATCTGAAAGTGAAAGAAATCAATTAGTAAGTCAAATAGATGAAATTCAAATGGATCGAGATAAACATATACAAGAATGTATGGAAATAAAATCCCAACTTTGCATGGCAGAAGATAAACTAGATAATTTCCAAGCTCATTTGAATGATATCAGTAGAAAATTAAAAGAATGTAAATATTAATTTATTGTTAGTTTTTATAATTCAACCTAATTTATTTTAATTTCATTTGTATTTAGCTGATTCGATAGCTGATCATACACGGAAAGATTTGATGGAGACCAGACGAAATTTAAATGAAACTACTATTGAAAAAGAAAAATACCAAAGTTCCAATAGAGAATTACGAGAACTTATTAAAAGATCTGAAACTGATAAGCGTGAACAAGGAAGACATTTAGAAGACGCCCTACAAAAGATTGCTGTACTTGAAGAAAAATGTAATCAAATTGAAGGAGAGCGTTCACGTTTAAACACTGAATGTAAAGAAGCTAGCAAGAGACTTGAAGAAACTGAAAAAACATGTAAAGCACTACAAGAAGATCTTCAACGAGCAGCTGTAACAGGAGAATCTCGTAGAAATGAACATAAACAATTACAAACAAAATTGGATGCTGAATCTGAAGAAAAGGAACGGGCTTGTGAACTTGCTCAACAACTTAAAAGAAAAGTAATACAAATTATAAGTATCTATTCTAATGAACTATTATAATTTAAAGACTAATGAGCTTTCACTAATGAATTATGGTTTAGGTTAATGAACTAGAAGGAATTTTGGAGGGTTATGAACAAGAAATCATGCGTTTACGTCATCGTGTGGATGAAGATGATTTGCGTTGGAAGACTCGTGAACAAGAACTACTTGATCGTCTTGAAGATGGAATTGGTCATGAAAGAAAACTTGAAGATCAAAAACATAATTTAGAAGTCTGCTTATCTGATCAAACTGTTCAGATTCAAGAACTGAAATGTAAATTAAGTGCATCAGAGGGCCGTCTTCGCGCAGCAGATGTTCAGCTTGCAGATTTAGAGAGAACTAAACGTGATGTAGAAAATCGACTTAATACAATATGGTCGACTTTAAAACGTGTTACTGGCATGCAAGCAGATGGATCTGTCAGAATAAGGAAATGGAGTCCCAGCAGAAGTAATAATAATTATATTTATAATAATTTTATTAATATTTATTAATATATATTAATACATATGTACAGAGCTAGAATGAGACAGAAAACTGCTCTATTATTTTATAAATATGAGTTTCAATTATTTAAGATAATATACTTATTTATTACTCTTATATAATATTTCGAATTTTGGTTAAAGTGGTTTTTCTGATAATGAATAAGTTTTAGTAAAACAAAATCGACCTATTTAATTAAGGATTACTTATTTTTAATATTATTGTAAATTCGATTTATTCTTGTTTTTAAGTGTATTTATTGTAAATTAAATTTAAATGTATATTAATTTTTTTTAGTTTTGGACCAAGGTTCTGAATCAGTTCGTATGGATGGTAAGGTAGTGGATCCAGAAGTAGTTAAAAAGGGTGTAAGAAATTTAATGCAACAAGTAGCACTAGTAGAAAGAGAAAAAGATGATTACAAATCTCAACTAGCAAATATGAGTCGGCAACTTGAAGAAATTGGAGATATCCATAAAAAAACAGATAGTAAATTGAGTTCAACTATTCAGATTTTAAGGAAACTTCAAGATGAAAAAGTTGATCTAGAATCAAAACTTGGACAGAAACAAACTATACTCTTATCTCAAGTAAATATTTTCTTACTATAACTAATGAGCTCATATTTTTAAAAATTGAGGAATGTTATAGGCAGCAGAAATTAAAGAAAAATCTGATGAGATTAAGAAAAATAAAGAAATATTAACTAGCCAAGAGACTCTCATGCATGCTGACAAAAATGAAAAAATGCAATTGAAAGAACGTTTAGAAAAGTTGAAAATTCATTTAAGTCAATTAGAAGCTGAGAAAAGACATCTCCAAGATGAGTTGACCCAAACTGAATCAAAAGCTACAAAACTAGAAATTCTAAGAATTGGCCTTGATGGAGATTTACAGCGGTTACAAATTATGTTACAAGAAAAGGATGGTCATATTCAAGTAATTTCAATAATATATTTTATTTATAATTATAAACGAATTATTATGTTCATTTTTTTTTTTTTTTTTTTAGAAACTTGAAGATAAATGTGAAAGTCATTCTAAAGCTTCTGCTGCACTCGAGGAAAGATGTGTTTTATTAAATGCTGCAATTGAGCGCTTGAATGCTTCATTAGCACAAGCTAATGCTAATGAATGTGATTTAAAGGCTCAAATTCAAGCACTTCAAAGATCATTACATGATGCTTCTTTGTCTTCTGCTTCTCATAATGACAAATATAAACAAGTAAAGTTGTCAAATTATTTGATAAGCAATAATATACCGTTTTATATATTTATAAACAATATCATATAATATTCAGCTTAATAAATCTGTACATTTTCATTAAATTGTGATATGTAATTATTAATTTGAATTTATTATTTATTTAGTTGCAAAGAGCATTACAAAATTGTGAAAATGAAAAAAAAATTGCTATGGAACGTTTGGACGTAGCACAGCATAATTTGGCTGACTGTCGCCGTGACCAACAGTCAGTGAATGAGTCAATTATTAGACTTCAGATGGATTTAGAAAATAAAGAAGTACAAAAATCTAATTTAGAAGCTCAACTTAGAGCTTTGGGAAATAAATCACTGCCAAGACAATCAAATAAGGATCTCTATGATGAAAGTTCTGATCTTAGATTTAAGTTGCAGTCACTTAATGATAAGGTGCAACCTTGAATAATTAGTGAAATAGGTTCAGTTAGATTATTGAAAATATTTGTTTATTAGGTACGTTTGCTAGAATCAGAAAAACGTTGTTTGGAGAAAAAAGCTTTATCGAGAAGTAAAAGTTTTGAAAGAGTAGATTATGAAGGAAAATTTAGTCAAGGTGGACGATTTTTAGAAGAAAATAGAGATTTAAAAAATAAATGTGACGATTTAGAAAGAAGATTATATGAAAAAGAAGTTGAGTTGAAAAATCTCAAACTATCTTCTTCTGATTACAGGTAATATAATAAAATAAATAAATATTAACTTTAAGTATTTAATGGTTTATTTTTTTATTAGCTCAAATATACCTGTAAAACATACAGATTTAGAACGCTATCGAGCAGGGCAGTTACAAGCTGAACGCATGTTAGAAGCACGTGAGCAATCACATAGACAACAAATACACAGATTAGAAAATCAAGTAAGACTATTTGTAAATTAAAAAAAAAAAAATTTAATAAATGTATTGTTTCTTAGGTCGCAATGTTGAGGGATCAACTATCAGAAGAAACTAAGAGACGACAAGCATACATAAATAAAACGTCTAAAACTAGCCGTGAGGCTTTAGCATTGAGGCAAGCCTTGGACAAATCATTGTCAAAAATTGCCCAAGATCCATCACCAGATGCTACTTTATTGAAACACGAAGCACGCACTTTGCATCATGCCATTCCATTGTCTAAGTAGAATTGTTAGTATGATATACATTTTTATGTAGTTCCTAAATTATATAAAATAGAGCACTCTAAATGATAATTTTAGATTTATGCATTAATCTTTATGAGAACTAAGGATTTGTTTGTTTTTTAACTATTTAATTATTAATAGATTGTAATGATTGTATAATGTTACAAATGACACATTATTTCTATTTTTCATTGTATAACATAAATCAAACTTCTAATACCTATTGAAACTCTCAATACATAAGTTACGATATATTTATAATAATATATGAATGTTGTTACTGTATAATGATTGTTTGTCATACAAATATATAATATAATATATATGTCTGAGCTAGAATTTTTTTCTTAAATATATTTGTTGCTCTCTAAACTAGAGCTTCCTACTTCACGTGTACACGCTTTCATGTATTCACGTGAAATTAAGATTCGAAAATATAAAAACTTTTACTTGAAAACTTCGTGTACACGAGTAATTATTAACGTGTATACGTATGTTCAAGTATTCACGTATTTTAGTGTTAATATTTTTTTAAATTCATAATATTGTTAAACCAACAAGTTAACATTTTTTGATAGCCATGTTATTTTTTAAGGTGATTAAGTTATATTCGTACTGCTGTACTATATAATACATAATACTTAAACAAATAATCGTGATTACATGAATATATTAAAATACGAGAACAGGTATATTAAATTTATATTTACTAAGTATACGTCAATACTAATTTTTCATTCGCGTGTTCACATTTTCAATGGAGACCTCTACTATAAACCCAGTACAGCCAAAAAAATAATTTTCTAGGCGTTTAAAAAATACACATAAAAAAAAGTTGTTATAGACAAGAATGTATCAATATCATCACGTAAAAAAGATTCTAAAAGACATTAGCACATAATTGAAATTTTATCTTATGAATTCCAGTAAAAAGAAGGATTACCAAAAAAAAATCAATATGAAAACTTCAATTATTTTCCTTAAGCATTAATTTATATACATCTGTCGTCTCTTGTGTTGGGCGCCGTCAAATAATTTGTCTTCTTTTGGTTTATTAGTAGAAAGGAGTTTAAATAATTACTCAACTATAATTTAAACACTATATTATTTATTAAATATTCTAAGTCCAATTAATTTATTCATTACGTAAACTGGCGTGAAGGTGCTTGTTATGATCGGACTAAAATACATCTCTATACTGATCTGTTCGGGACAGCCTTATATAGCCTGTTCCGGTGTAATATGGTGCTCCTTTCCCCCAAGACAATAATACGTTTAACCAAACATAGTCTGGGTTATGTTTTAAATAATGTTTTATATTTTAATTACTACACCGAATTACTACACCAGTGAATAGAAACTATTAAACCTACAACAAACATTATTATTTCATCGGTTAATGTTTTTATATAATTAAAATAAATTGTTGTAAGTAATACAACTTTTACGTTTTAATATTTTTTTGATGGTACCGCAACCAAAACAATGATGAGGCAGATAATCTATTTACAATGTAAATTGTCTTATTCCATTTGTGTTTGTTAATTATTTTCATTCATACAAAATACATTTTTTATAATTTCTGCCAAGAGTATATATATGTTATAATTATAATATCTATACTCTAAGATGAGTATACTTGTTTAGTGATTTATATTTGTTTAGTAACAGTATTTTTATTGAGACCTATTTTAGCTAGCAACATGGTTCTAACCACATTGCAGTTGTAATTAATGAGTTGATGCTGTCCAAAATGAATAACTCTTCCACAGGGAGGAACTTAGTTCTACAACTGTTAAAAAAGTTTTCATGCTTATCATTTCTGAGATTATAATTTTCCTAAATAATAGTTTAAATATTTACTAATTTTTTTTTTTATGTTATCTTTAAAATATTTTTCAACATCATCATTTATGTAAACTGCATAAATTGCATGGTATTTATTTCGTAATGTGAAATGTAATAGCCATTAATTTATTACATTTTTTTTTTTTTTTTAGTTCTTCATATGCTGTTACTGCTAAATCATTTTTACCTATTTTTAATTTAGTTCTCCTAAGCAATAAAAACTATATGGATTTAATAAAAAGCTCCATTAAAGGGGCTGGAGCGTAACATGTTTTAAGGAGTAATATTTAGGCATTTTATATCACGTGAACATTTTGGCTGTGTCAATGTGTGAGTAGTAAATGAACATAGGTGTGTGTAATCCGTTATCGCGTTTATCATGCCACCGTACATCGAATTCCCAGAACTACAATAATAATCAAAATGAACATTTTATCTTTACATTATATTAATTTGCACAACTTCACGTTTTGATGATCCAATATTATTTTAATATAGGCAGTAATTTGGACAGTATAGTACTATAAAACATAAATAATACTGTGGGAGCGCATATAAATCTGGACCGTAAATATATGGAATTTAAAATCTGGATTGTATAAATATGGACTTTATTTATTTGGACTGTACAATCGGATGTAAAAATCTAGATTTTATATATACATATATGTTATTATTTTATTACCTACCTAACCATTTAAGCCTGCTGAGAGCTGGTCGTTTTTTCGCAAATTCGAACCAAAAAGCGGAAGAAAAATTCATCCGGTAACTAAATCCTGATTTTAATTTTGAAAACACATTTGAATTCTTTATTCTCTTGTCTATGTTTTGCGGGAAATAATTGTTTTAATTTATTCGTTTTTTTTTAAGCATACAGTAAAAGAAAATTAAAAAAAAAAATGTATTTGGTACTATGATAAATAAACGATACAATATTTATGTTACAGCTAGAAATACTACAATTCTTAGAAATGTTCTAGCGTCCATACGCGCATGCACAATTCAATATACACGAAGAAAATACTTTTGAACTTTAAATTGATGCGGTACCGTGTTGTCGTAGGTACAATATGTACAATATGTACACCGACACCGCGCACCGCGTTAGCTTCTCTCCAGCCACATCCCGGGTGGCGATAATATCGCACCAACACTTTCCTACCTACCTCGGACACCGGGCAGAGGGGGAAAGTTTTTGATGCCGATAAGGTAGCGCACCATTGGCCGGCGGGCTGTGTCTACGGACGAGGGCCTCATCTTACGACGGACACCGGTTTGGTCAACACCGACACACCGACTCCACCACCGTCACCAGAAGACCACATTCCGTACCTGTTTTGTTTTTGTTCGCTTTGACAATAAACTCGTGAAAAACATATTCAGTTCGGTTTCGTGGTTTTTCTTTTTTTCTTATTTTTTTTTTTTTTTTTTAAAAAAACACGATCCATTTCACTCAACTCTGACCGGCCACCTCACCGAGGGAAAACCTACCACCGACTTGAGGCCGTGTCAGCATGAATTTGCACGACTATCACTTGCATATTTTCGCGAATTTTACATATTTCGTAAAAATTTGAACTCTATGCACTTATAAAAATACAATTGTGACTTACACTTTTTGTTTTTTTTTTTATATCCGATAAGGAAAACTTATAAGGCACTCTGTATTAAATTTTCAAGATTTTTTGAGCGGCCAAATTTTTAATCGATATTTAAAAAAAAATCCATAATTTAAATTGTCAATAAATAGCTCGAAAAAAGTCAAAATGCTTTGAAAATTTGACTGTCATAGACAACACTAATATAAATATTTGGTGAAAATCTTAAGTTTTTAAATTTATTATTTTTTGAGTTATTGTAAAATAAAAGTGTGGAGCATACTCAAAACTTCGTGCATGAAAGAGATAAACAAAGAAATCCCCCCGCCGCGTCTATATTACACTTACCATCATCACTAGGAGACTGTCGCGGGCGGCCGTGGTGTCGTAATAATAGTATAATCACTATAATATTATAGTAAAAATCTAACTTAAAATATTAAAGAACAAAAAAACTCAAAACAAAGAAATTCGTAAAATTTCGATTTTGGGCGGTGCTGGCGAAACGCGCAAATTTTTGGATACGTTATTGCACGGAAACAACGATCGAGCGAATTTCGGGGATAGTCGTGCAAATTCATGCTAATTGCGTGCTAAATAATGGCTATGAAAAAATATATGAAATTCCATTTTTGCGATTGGGCGGTGCTGGTGAAACGTTTCGCCAGCACCGCCCGTTAATTTTTGCGATTCCGGAGAAATGGATGACATGCAAATTGCAAAATTGGTCATGCAAATTCATGCTAATTACGTGCTAATTATTGATAGTAAAAAAAAAAATCAAATTTTCCTAATGGGCGGTGCTGGCGTAACGCACGTCGTTTTTTCCGAGTTCTTTAATAAATTCGATTTTTGTTGATGGATGTAAGTTTCGGATCACTATGCGGTATGCTTTTTCGTCTTTCAGTTGATATGTATAAAAATCAACGTTGTATTCTTTTAGATATTTTATAACTGAGCGAAAGGAACTTATTGTGTCTGAAGTTTTAAGGCGTTTGTTGTGCTTTTGCATGTGAATTCGGCTGTGGGTTCGATTCTATTTTTTATGTTAGTGCAGAAAGAACTAAAATCGTTTATTTTAGTTTTGATAAATATTGGTGGTGGTTTTTTTTCTAATGGGGCTGGGACGTCTTCGTCCATTGACTCAATTTGACCATCTTAGTCAACTTGAGAGAGAAGAGCGTAACTATTATCAGTGACAAATTTTGGGTTAGAATGATTTTTAATGTTTTTAGATTTAGGAGAGTTTCCTTTGGAAGTAGGATTTGAACGCTAAAGTTTTTTTGGTGAAGTTACTTCTACCCAGTCAAAATTAAAGACACCGTCATCGGATATTTCAGTAGAATTTGATTTTTGTATAGTGTTTTGATTAATTATTTTTATTGGCAATACACATTTATTATTCTTTTCGGAGTTTTTGTTTTGTTTGGCAGTGGGTTGCATGTTGATAATAATTGATATTATCTACTAATTAGATTTGGGCCCCAAAAGGACGGCGATTTTTTTTTTTGTTAAAAAGCACTTAAAAATTTTAGTTTTTTTAACACTTTACGGAACAAAAACGATTAAGTATTTAGTTAGATTTTTAAGATTTTTAATAAAATCATAATTATCAATTAAATTACATAGATGCACACATTACGAGTGCCAGACATCGAATGTTCTAGAAATATAAATATAAGATCGTTATTTGTATTTATATTTATAATATTCATCATCAGTTATCACTTTTTTTTTTATTGTAACTATGTATCTTATATATACTTACAATACTTATATACTATATTACTTATGTATATGTATATATAAGTATACTTTTATACTTATATACATTTCATTCATCTTCAGATGAACTACTATCATCATTTTTTGAGTCATGCTTACTGTCAGCACCATAGCTTGTTTTACTTTCGAGTATTTTCAACTTAAAATATAATTCTAAATCTTCAGGAGATAGAGATTTTAAAAATATTTCCATCTTCTTTTGATATTGCGTTACACGTTTTTCATATTCATTCTCATACACTACGTGTCGCCATCCTGTTATACAGTTCCACTGATCTAAGTTTTTAATCGAGTGTTTTTCTTTTGGCGGATCACTTTTATAAAGCTCAAAGGCATTATTATACGGTAAAGGTTTTGGTTCATTTTTGAATATATTTAAGTGATGTCTTGGCTTTTTTGTATTTGCTTCACTTACGGTCTGAAAATGATAAATTAATTGTATTTACTGATACCTTATATTCTAAATATTAATTATTATCAGAAGACCATATTTATAATATAGCTTTTTACCTTATGGATCAATTCATTTTTATTATCTTGACGTCTGCGTCGATTATTCAAATCCTTGGAAGGTACTGCCACTTTTCGTTTTTTGGAAAAACTCTGAATTATGTTTTCAGACTTTCTTTTCCTCTTCAAATCCATTGTTATTTGACACAGTATTATCTCGTTAAATATGAACGGTTCGACAAAAAGTTTTAATCGTTCAGATTAATACTGGTAATAAATTAGTTAACGGTTATTCGTGCGAATGATCAACTAAAGACGAAACATCGAGGATTATTTTATATAATTTTTTTTAACTATAATCTAAATACCATAGCAACACATTTTCAAGTTTAATACAAAATTAAATCAGATGTTTTATGAATATTAATAAAAAATATTAATAAAAAGTTTAAATCTTACCTTGAAATTAAAAAATGTTAATTTATAGGAAGAAACTGAGCCGGTGGCTCTGGTAAAAACAAAAACTCCGGCTTGTACTTAGATGCTTATGGACGGCGATTTTTTTTTTTTTTTGTTAAAAAGCACTTAAAAATTTTAGTTTTTTTAACACTTTTCGGAATAAAAACGATTAAGAATTTAGTTAGATTTTTAATAAAATCGTAATTATCAAATAGATGCACACATTACGATTGCAGGACATCAAATCTTCTATTTTTTGAACGAGTTTTTCTCGACTTTCTAAATATATTTAAATAATATTTTAAGGGGATTGGAAGTGCTCCGTTTCTAAGGAGTAAACGATAGGCATTTAGTTTAACAGTTGAAGTCGCTTACTGCTGTTGTGTGAGTAATAAATGCTCATTTGTGTGAGTGTCCGTGCCTCCACTACTACCCGCATATTCTTAACTTAATTTTTTATATTAGGTAAATTTAATATTTATGAAGAACTTTAAATTACTATTTTTAAGCTTTTTTTAGCTAGCGAAAAATTTCTAGTTTCAAAAAATAAAAAGTTGAAATGTCTATAAATTGTTAAAAAATATTAAAAATATTTTGAAAATGTTATCATGTATTAAAAATGCAATTTTAAAGATTAGGTGAAAATTTTAAGTATCTACGCCTATTTGTTTTTTAAAATACACTAAAAACATTAATTCAATTCAGCCTATAAAAATTTAAAAAAATTATTTACGATAATATAAATATAATATAATAATAATACTTACTACACCAGAAAGGGCATTGTAGTTACTTTTGTAAGACCTTTTAGACCATGTACCGTCTGCTACAACCGTAATTAGTGGTATTCCATACCATTTTCGTCTACGTTATTTTCTTCCACTGCAAGTCTAGCCTCTTCTTTGTCAGCCATTTCCATTGCTTCTATAGCTGTGTTCTCGGTGTGTTTAATTAAGTCATTATGAATTTTTTTGATATAACGGATTACTCATATTAGGCATATTTAAAAAAGCTGAAAATGTGTCTAGTTGAGTATACCCTTGTCCAGTATTTACGATTGCAGCCACCATTGCCGAATTTACAGGCATACTAGCGCGATTTTCATTTGTAATTATTTCTTGTTTGTTACAAAAATTACACATAAAAACAAATTTAGAAAAAAATCCATTTCTGATTTCTTTTACCAAAATTAAGTTTTTGAAAGTACAATCGAATGGATGGTGGTCAATATTTTTAATGGCATCAAATAAAAACATTATATCAACTACACGTTGACCACTACATTTCATCCTTTAAAAATTATAAATTATTTTTTAATTTTAATTTTCAATTTTATAAAATTACTCCAACACTTACTCGACAGGTATTATATTATTTAATGCTTTTTCACCGGTATTAAAATTTATATTTTCTCTTTCAGCCTCAATCTGCGTTCGATT